ATGGAGTATCACTAGTGGTGCAACGTGTAGATTTGTGCCTCTTTTTTAAAATTGTGGTGGTGAGGGAGGGCTTGACTTCCAGCCCCTCTCAAGCTTCTCTCCCTCCACCTCCCCACCCCACCTTGCAGGGGGTGTCAAGAGAGAGCAGCCACCTTTACTTATCTCCCTTGATGAGGAGAAGCCACTATATTGATGCCTGTTCAGTGAAGGAGAAGAGGGATCGGTGCTTCACGCTGTTCAGTGGAAGTGTGTTCTCATGCCCAGACAGTTCCTCTCTGACGACCGAACAATCTGAGCTTCTCCTGAAATCACTGGACATGGCACACCTAAGATCAGAGTAATGCTGGGCGAGGGCCATGGGTTGGATCCTGCCCAGGGCTAAATACTCCTATTGCTCCTGATCAATACCTTGCAGGATAGTAAACTTAATGAATAGGGAAATCAAACCCATTGAATTAAGTCTGCTGCTGTGATATTGGTAACTTTGTTTACAGCAAGAAGGCCCTCCTGGCTTCAAAATATAGTGTAGAGGGGATTAGCATCTTGCCAGTTTTTCCAGGGATGAAAGAGCCTTCAGTAGGTGGAAAAGTACCTAACAATCTCAGTTGCCAGTTGGAAGGTGAGAGAGACAATTAGCTCTCAAAGGCATTTCCTAATCAGGTAGTTAGGTGTGAGGAGACATGTTTTCCCTGAGTGTTAGGATTTGGCTTTAGTGATCATAACTGTAAGCTTCTTAGGGGAACAAATATTTAGAATAGTAGGCAGTGTTTGCTGCCTAATCAGAAGTATTTGTGGAGGTTTAATTCTAATGTTCTGGCAACGTGGCCGTGATACTGACCTGGCTTTTTAACCAGTTGTTGTTAAAACAAAAAGGTAGTTAGTAATCAAATCAAAGGGATTACCCAATTATCTGTGCAAATTGAGATACTATTAACTTCCTTATTATTATCCCAGCCTTTCAAAATTGTCATAAAAGTCTTACCAGCCCCAGTAAAAAGAAAGAGAGGAAAAAAAGAAAGAAAGAAAGAAAAAAAAAAAAAAAAAAACCCCTACTGTTTCACTGTATGCTGATGGATGATAATGAGGGATCTAATGATATTTTAACATATGTCTTTCAAAAAAAATTACTTGACCTAGATTAAGTGAGTGAGCAGAATTTTGCAAATCTGCTCCATGCAATGTTTGACTTTTCCCTTTGAGGAAGAAACTAGCTTTTGGTTGCAGAGAGAAAAGCACAATTAAAATTAATTTGTGTCCTGGAATTGTCAGGTATGTTTACACATACATTTGACAACACAAACCATGAATGAATTCTGATTTAAGCTTGTAGTGTAAAAAGAGATAGAAATAAGCTTAATTTGTAATGTGCGTTGAACTTTTTTTTTTTTTAAAGGGCTTCTCAAATCAGTACGTCGTATAATCACTAAACCATAGCCTGAGAAACAGTTGTCGCTGGTATTTCAGCATGCTGTAATTCCAGTTAATCTAATTTATGAGAAACTATATTGAGTGACAGATGTGAGAACATTTATTGCTTGGCCTTCTTAAATTACATGCAAGATAAGTCTTGTTTAATTTTTAACTGTAAGAATGTCTGACTGCAAAATATAAAGCACATCCCAACCTAACAACCATGCCCTCAGTCCCCAAACTGTGGCAGTTTTAACAATGTTGATCATTCATATTTTTCTTCGTAGCGCTCTTCTTCCCCCAGGGTACTCTGTAATTCACCCTGAAAATAGTTACTGGACACAGAAGTATTTTAAAAACACCAACTACTTTTTTTTTTTTAATTCACAGTCTCTGTTAAAGATGCTTGGGAAAATGTAAGCCAAAAATATGATTGCCTTGAAAGTCCTAGTACCTGTGACTTAGTGTACGGAATTGTCCTCTACTGGTATTTGAAACTGAGGGCACTAGATCAAAAACGTCAGTTCAGGCATTAGAGCTAAAGCAGAACCTCCATCTCTGCTGTCAGTAGAAGTAACAGCATTTTATGTATCCTCTATCCTAGCCTCCAGCCATGAGAAGGCAAACCCACAACACAATGTCCTTTTCCTTCTTTTGCAAAGCATTCTGCACAGAGTGCACAAAACATAGAACTGTTCCAAAGCAGCATGTACTTGGCATGTATATTGTTCCAGTAGGCACTTGCTGAGCTACCTCAGACACAACATGCATGGTTTAGGCTGTTTACCGGACGCAGGTCTCAGAAGTCCCTGACCTAGTTGGGACTTAACCAGAGGACGTTCTGTTCCAAAACCAGAGGGCTTTACCTCTTGAACTAAAGAAGCTCTTTTGACTCACAGCATTATGTATTCTCTCTTCAAACCACTAGCTGCTTTGGGACAAGATACTCTTCTGCTAGGAACACAAAGTACAGGGATGGGCAACTTGAAGGTAGTACATGGTGACAAAATCCACTAAAACCCTTTGGTGGGCTTGGGGATGTGATGTGGTGGGGGAGAGAGGTCAGGTCCTGCGGAGGGTCTGGGGAGGGGTGTGGAGAGTGAGCCCACCCCTGTGCTCACCCCTCAGGGTGGCTGCTGTCCTGAAGAGGTGACATGGCTCCCTGCTGTGGCCCATTGGCTCTTGCCACAGCATCATGTGACATGCACATCTGCGCACAGGTGAGGCCTCCCCTTGTGACTCCATGTCCTGCCCCCTTCTTGGCCCTAGTGCTGCCGGATTGCCTGCCCTGAACTGGTAAAGTTCAGGCCAAGTAAAGTTATCTGGCAGATTGGGTACAGCCCCAGTTATCCATCCCTGACAAAGTAGGTCAGTATCAAGGAGACAGAAGAGTTCAAGTGGGGTTACACGGAGCAAGGACGCCTCTCCAGTAGCAAGAAAGAAACAGGAGGAGCTATAAGTGTTACTGAATATATCTTAAATCAATCACAGAGGGAAAAAACTTCGTTACCTGTCAGTTTTACCTGCAGCATTAAAACTAGGTAGAAGCAAAACAACATTTCTGAACGAAATGATTTTGTCAAAACAAAATGATCTTATTGAACCAAAATTACTTTTTAAAAAAATCAGAGAACTTTTGACATTTCTGCCTTTTGTTGTTCCAATTCGGAATAAAACAAAATTTCAAAATTTCGAAATCCTCCATGAAATGCAATTTCCATTCTCTTCCCAGCTCTACTTGTAATACAGTACCCTCACAATTCATGCAATTTCTTCTAAAAATCCACAGATGTGCAAATTCACATTAGAGACACCGATAGCACACTGCAGTTTCACCCACAAAACATAGCTACTAACAAACATCACCCTTTCTTTTTCCATTTGTACACAGGGGGAAAAAAGACTTGTTTACATATAGGATACAGTAATAGAGCTACATTTCCTGTTTCCCCAAACAGTCCTGATTCCACACTCCTTACATACAGTCGCACTTATACCTGTGACTGAGCCCTTTGACTTCAGCAAGACTGCTCATGTAAGTGTTATTCAGCGTGAGCAAAGGTTACAGAATTGGACCTATATAAAAGTACACTTCAAGGAGTATTTGCCGAAACATATTCCAATAACAGAATGTTAAAATTGTAGTTCAGGAACTATACAACACCTGAACCATCATGCAGTTCTTGCTTGTTTTATAGATCATTCTTCTACAACTGGGTTTTTTGTGCTATAATAAAACAAATGACCAAGAAAAAGGGGGTAAGAGTTTAGACTTTTCAAAACTTTTTTTTTTTAATGTACATTTTCACAAATATATTTATTAGCTTTTCTTATGGTACTTATTGCTATGTTATTTAAACACTTCACAAGCACTAATCAAATATCACTGAAGCTAATCATGAGGAGGGGATCTGAAAACCAAAGATTGAGGGAGGGATAGGGTAGCACAGAGACCTTCTTCATACAGCCACAGAGCAAAGGGAATGGTAGAGCTGCAGCAAGACGCAGTATCCAAGACCCATCCTCTGGGATTGGGAAAGAGCCCATGGACTGGATGAGCGGGAGAAAGCGGTAGGATAAATTAGAGAAGTATGGTATGAGGAAAGATATTTTGTGACTAGTGGAAGAAGAAAGGGAAGAAGATAGTCAAGTACAGTATAGAGGGAGAGAGGGGAAAGGGGAATCGTAGCCCCCTGCTTCCCCCCCCACACACACACACACAAAAAGCCCTTAAGAAAAGATGTGGTGATATGTGGGAAAGAAAAAGTGTAGTGAAGCCAAGAAGAAGGGCACCAAAGTATAACACAAAGGTATGAACATGCAAATAAATACAATGACAAATAACCAGAACAGAATAAACTACAGCGAGGGTGGCTCTGAGTGTTGTGATGGCAGTTTCACTCTGGTTAGTCCTTAGGCTCAGGGCCGGATTTCCCATTAGGCACAGTAGGGCACGTGCCAAGGGGTGCCAGCATTCTAGGGGTGCCTAAAAGTTAAAGGTGTGTTAAAAGTTTCATTTTTTACAGAAAACACAAAGGTCAGTTGTAGGGGGGGGGGGGGCATTGAAGATGCTGTGCCTAGAGGTGCCTAAGGTGTAAATCCAGCTCTGCTTTGGCTGAGAGGTTTCAGGCAAGTGTTTCAAGCCCAGATTATTTATTTTATTGCACAGAATGCATTTAGTATCCTGTCTAAAGAAATTTCAGTCTAATAAGATGAACAGGAAGTTTCCATATATGAGTGCCATGGGTGAACTGTTTGGAGTGATAGATTAGAAAAAGACAGGCTGATTGAATGGTAAAAGTGTGTTTTGAGGCAGGATTTTTGGGCAAAGGTTTGTCACACAGGTATAACTACACGGGTTTAATTGAGTTAATCTGGATTTAATACTGTGTAAATAAGGGCTGGTCTACACACAAGCTTGCATCAGTTTCCGATTTAGTTATTTCAGTGCAGGTTTTTGTGTAGACCGGCCCTTACAAAAGAATCTGATCCTGTCCATTTAACTACTTTAGTTAATGTCCATCAATAAATTGGAGGTGATGAAGGATCGAGCTCAGAAACCATGTTCTTCCTCCCCCTCTTCTTCCCAGACCCTAGAAATGATGCTGAGAAGGAGAACAACTTGAAAGAACTAATGAAAGAGCTGCCTGATGCCAACTACTGCCTGCTGAAGTACCTGTGCCGGTTCTTGACCCGAGTTGCTGAGCATCACACGGTGAACAGAATGAACATTTTCAATCTGGCCACCATTTTTGGACCAAGTTGTTTTCAGTAAGTTCATGGTTCCCCCCCCCACCCTTTCTTTCACTTCAGCTGAGCACATGTTGAGGCAGGTGGCATGAGAGACCGCTCAGAATTCTCACCGTTTCAGCTGATCCTATAAATTCCCTAAGCAATGGATGCAGTCTTTAAGGGTAATATTGGGGGGTTGGGTTGTCCTTTTGGGGTGGTGGGAGGGAGTTTGTTGGCATTTTGAAACACTTTTTTTAAGCAGTTTGTTAGGTGGTGTAAACAGGAGAAAAATGGAGCAGAAAATCCCCCAAATTTGTAGAAGGAAGAAAGTTGCATCTACACAACATTCTTCCTTTTCTGCCACACACCATGGAGGCTTCTCTGAGCAACATCTAGAGAGAGGGCATTTAGGGAAGACGGCATCACAGGGCAGCTGGTGGATGCTGCCTGCTCCAGGCTTCCAGGTGGCGAGACATGCAAACCCTCTTGATTTAGGAGTGTGTGATCCAGATCCAATGGAACTGTGGCGCTGACGGGAGCTGTGCTCCTAGAGGGCCCAGAGACCTATCTGGAGGGGATGGGGCTCTGCAGAGAGTGAGTGGGAGTTGCCACGAGATTCACTGGTTCTGCTGACTGCTTCCTTCTGGTCCAGACTCCTCCTCCTTTCTGGAGGCAAGGATGTAATGGACTCCTCCAGGGCTAATGTGAACTTCGGCGTACATTGTGATGGAGCTTCAGATCGTAGGGCCCTGCGCAGAGATGCAGAGTTACTTCCTATTCACTTGTTCTTACAGCCATTAACCTCCATGATTCAAAATCCCAGGTGGTTGTCAGAACAATTATTATTTTAGATAACTGCACTGCATTAAGTGATGAGTGTTCTCAGTCAATGCTGTCGGGACATCTGCTGGGAGAGCAATACAGCAGTGCACAGACAATCCAGGAAGGTTTTGGAGAGTGTTAGGGACAACTTCCTGGTGCAGTTACTGGAGGAACCAACCAGGGGCTGTTCTCCTCTTGACCTGCTGCTTACAAACAAGGAAGAATTGGTAGGGGAAGTAGAAGTGGGTGGCAACATGGACAGCAGTGACCATGAGATGGTTGAGTTCAGGATCTGCACAAAAGGAAGAAAGGAGAGTAGCAAAATACGGACCCTGGATTTCAGAAAAGCAGACTGTGACTCCCGTAGGGAACTGATGGGCAGGATCCCCTGGGAGGCTAATATGAGGGGAAAGGAGTCCAGGAAAGCTGGCTGTAATTTAAAGAAGCCTTGGCACAGGAACAAACCATTCTGATGTGCAGAACGAATAGCAAATATGGCAGGCGACCAGCTTGGTTTAACAGTGAAATCTTCGGTGAGCTTAAACACAAAAAGGAAGCTTACAAGAAGTGGAAACTTGGTCAGATGACTAGGGAGGAGTATAAAAATATTGCTCGAGCATGCAGGGGTGTAATCCGGAAGGCCAAAACACAACTGGAGTTGCAGCTAGCAAGGGATGTGAAGGGTAACAAGAAGGGTTTCTACAGGCATGTTAGCAACAAGAAAAAGGTCAGGGAAAGTGTGGGACCCTTAATGCATGGGGGAGGCAACCTAGTGACAGATGATGTGGAAAAAGCTGAAGTACTCAATGCTTTTTTTGCCTCGGTCTTCACAGACGAGGTTAGCTCCCACACTGCTGTGCTGGGCAACACAGTATGGGGAGGAGGTGAATAGCCCTCAGTGGTGAAAGAACAGGTTAAGGACTATTTAGAAAAGCTGGACATGCACAAGTCCATGGGTCCAGATCTAATGCATCCGAGGGTACTGAGGGAATTGGCTGATGTGATTGCAGAGCCATTGGTCATTATCTTTGAAAACTCGTGGTGATCGGGGGAGGTCCTGAATGATTGGAAAAAGGCAAATATAGTGCCCATCTTTAAAAAAGGGAAGAAGGAGAACCTGGGGAACTACAGACCAGTCAGCCTCACCTCCGTCCCTGGAAAAATCATGGAGCAGGTCCTCAAGGAAACCATTTTGAAGCAGTTGGAGGAGAGGACGGAGTTTAGGAACAGTCAGCATGGATTCACCAAGGGCAAGTCATGACTGACCAACCTGATTGCCTTCTACGATGAGGATAACTGGCTCTGTGGATATGGGGAAAGCAGTGGACGTGATATATCTTGACTTTAGCAAAGCTTTTGATACGGTCTCCTACAGTATTCTTGCCAGCAAGTTAAAAAGTATGGATTGGATGAATGGACTATAAGGTGGATAGAAAGCTGGCTAGGTCGTCAGGCTCAATGGGTAGTGATCAACAGCTCGATGTCTAGTTGGCAGCCGATATCAAGCAAAGTGCTCCTGGGGCCGGTTTTGTACAACATCTTTATTAATGATCTGGACAATGAGATAGATTGCACCCTCAGCAAGTTTGCGGATGACACTAAGCTGAGGGGAGAGGTAGATATGCTGGAGGGTAGGGATAGGGTCCAGAGTGACCTAGACAAATTGGAGGATTGGGACAAAAGAAATCTGATGAGGTTCAACAAGGAGAAGTGCAGAGTCCTGCACTTAGGACGGAAGAATCCCATGCACTGCTACAGGCTGGGGACCAACTGGCTAAGCGGCAGTTCTGCAGAAAAGAACCTGGAGATTACAGTGGATGAGAAGCTGGATATGAGTCAGCAGCGTGCCCTTGTTGCCAAGAAGGCTAACGGCATATTGGGCTGCATTAGTAGGAGCATTGCCAGCAGATCAAGGGAAGTGATTATTCCCCTCTATTCGGCACTGATGAGGCCACATCTGAAGTATTGTGTCCAGTTTGTAGCCCCCCACTACAGAAAGGATGTGGACAAATTGGACAGAGTCCAGCGGAGGGCAACGAAAATGATCAGGGGGCTGGGGCACATGATTTACGAGGAGAGGCTGAGGGAACTGGGCTTGTTTAGTATGCAGAAGAGAAGAATGAGGGGGAATTTGATAGCAGCCTTCAACTACCTGAAGGGGTGTTCAAAAGAGGATGGAGCTCGGCTGTTCTCAGTGATGGCAGATGACAGAACAAGGAGCAATGGTCTCAAGTTGCGGTCGGGGAGGTCTAGATAGGATATTAAGAAACACTATTTCACTAGGAGAGTGGTGAAGCACTGGAATGGGTTACCTAGGGAGGTGGTGGAATCTCCATCCTTAGTAGTTTTTAAGGCCCAGCTTGACAAAGCCCTGGTTGGGATGATTTAGTTGGTGTTAGTCCTGCTCTGAGCAGGGGGTTGGATTAGATGACCTCCTGAGGTCTCTTCCAACCCTAATCTTCTATGATTCTGTGTCAAATTATTGCCGTTTGAAACTTTAACCAGCCTGTTGGTGGTGGGGACATGGTGTGTTTGGTTTTCTTTGAGGTTGAAGAGCCCATAAATAAACTGAAAGTTACAGATAATCTTGTAAATTTTATAGTGTTGTTAGTCTCCATTCATTACTGGAATCAGAAAAAAACTCAGTACCACAGGATTGCAAACATTGGTGTATACAGAGTCACACATGTGGGTCACCATTAAGAAGCTAACATTTACCAGCACTTACACACAGGAATAGAAATGGTCATGAATTGTGTGATTGAAGATTTGCATTGGAAAATGCTGCTTTGTTGAAACGGAAACTTTTCCTGGAAATGGGCAAGTTTCGATGAAACTTTCGTTGGAGAAGGTTTCTGAGGTCCAGGATGGAATTTCTGGTCAGAACACAAGAATAGTTAAATGCCCAGTGGTTAGGGCACTCGCCTGGGTAATGGGAGACCCAGGTTCAAGTATCTGCTCCGAATCAGGCAGGACTTGAAGCTGGGTCAGCCACATCCCAGGTGAGTGCTCTGACCACCAGCTTGTTGGAGTTTGGGTTGGGTGTGTCTTTGTTTTTTTGTTTTAAAAAAATGTTGAAAGGTCTTGGTTTTTTCCTTGATGTGCAACGGGAATATATCTGAAATCTCAAAGCTTCGCAGGACAGGAAGACTGCTGCCACCCAGCTCTAGAAATGGGTGTTGGCAGTGGTCAGAATTTAGAGACAAAGGAAAAGTGTGTGTGTTATGCCAAGGAAAGTGAAGTGCCATGATTCTGTGTGTTTCCACCTTTTTATTCACTATTTCTCAAGTGAAAAAAAGAAAAGATCAAAATACCAGGTCAGTGTAGTTCTCCGTACAGAAAAGATAAAGCCCCTATGCCTAGTTACTGTTGTTTTGAGGTCGAAGTGACTGCGGAGGACATGGGGCTGGTCTGTATTCGTTTACAAATACTATGTTACCCAGTGTTGGGAATGGTAACAGTATGACTGTACTGAGTTAGTAGAATGTTTTATACGTATGCTGGTTTAGTTTAATAGCAGGGCTGATAGGAAACTAACAGGAAGGCAACACAATGGCCCCAGATGAGCAGCCTCCTGCCTGAGCTATTAGCTGGGAAGTACTAGCAAAGTAATAAGCCTTGTTTTGCCACGGCTGGGATCCAAAAGCTCAGAAGGACACTAAGCAATTCAATAGTCCCTCTCTTGGGCAGGGGAGTCATTATCAGGGAACTGTCCCTTGGGAATAGAGACATGCTCCACTGGAGGGTCTGAAGAATCAAAACCTCCCTGGCCCCCTGCCACAGGGTGATGGGGCTTGGGTAAGACAGACACGCCTATAAGCTTGTTGTTATGCTTTGTTCCAGCTGCTAAAATTAAACAATACTCTGGTTTGAGGAAAATGTCTGGTATTCACCGCTGATGGTAATCTCCCAAAGGTAAGACATGCAGGTGCCAGTCCCCGTTGGCTTATTTTTCTTCTTAGCTTTTGACAGTTGGCTGCTATATCTTTACAAGATCGAGACATGTCAGAGAGAAGAGATGTAGATTCTTATTATAATAAGTCCACATTTATTTTCAACCCAAGAAAATTCTTTTAAGCATTTCATCAGACCCATTCTTCTAGCAGCATGGTGCTATTGAAGTAATGGTCCTCAGCTGTTCAAGGGTCTGCTGGTAATAGGTAATTATACACTATAGTGAGGAGAAAGAGGTTCTAAACCATGAGCAGTAATTCAGA